AGATCTTCTGACCTTCCAAGCGACTGAACAGCCAGCGATGACCATACCAAATGGGGGGGGTCGGGCACATTTAGCAGGGAGGCGGCTGAGCACTGAGATCTTCTGCCCTGCCAAGCGACTGACCAGCCGAGATGACCACGCCAGAGAGAAGGGGTGCTGAAAGCGCTGGCAAGCGTCCAGCAGCTGAGGCAGCGTGGACGCCGAGATCTGCTGACCTGCGAGGCGCGGCTGAGGGGGGCGGGCCGTGCACCGAGGGGCCACGGCGGCGGAGCAGCGAACGCGGCCAAGCCGGGGCGGCAGGCGCGAGGGCGAAAGGCTGGCCGGAAAACCAGGCAAGGCAGAGTGAATGCCCGACCAGGGGACGGCCAAGGCCGGCCAGCCAGGAGGAGGGCGCGGCAGAGAGCCAAGGTGGGAGCCACAGGCGGCGCCCGGACCAGACTTGCAGAGAGCCAGCGATCCAACTTGCCGAGGCAGGGGATGCAGCGGTGGGGCAGGGCACCCACCTGAACGGGCAATGGCGGCCAGGGGGCGGCCAGAGGAGGCGCGCGGGAGCCAACGGCGAGCGGCAAGACCAGCCCGCCCATTGGCAAGCGCGGCGACCGCCACCAGGGAGGGGGCAGGGCGCGAGCGGCGAAGCCGCCGAGGGACCGAAACCGCCAGCCCTGGGGCGCACGGCGGGACCGGCAGCGACGGCAAGAGCGCAGCACCCGGCAGCAGCCGAAAGCGCGCGGGGGGGAGCACCGAACAGGTGCAGCGATGCGGCAAAAGGGGACCAGCAGGCGAGAAGCCGCCGACCCGGAGGGAGTAGAGCCAGAGGGCGGGTAGGCAAGCCGACGGCCAGAGAGACCGCAGGCCGGGCGCGCGGGGCAGGGTGAGCCGAGGGCCTGGCTGGCCGCTACCGGTCCCGCTGCAAGGGGGGAGTGGCGACGAGCGTCCGCAAGAAGAATTGGGCGGCCGGGCTCCAGGCGGGCTATGGAGCGCCTGGCCGAGGGGCGGCAAGGGGGAGCAGCGTGGGAAGCTCAGAACAGGTCGAGGCAGGCGGGTGCGCCTGACATGTCTTGGCGGGCAGCTACCAGTGACGACTGTGCGCCACAGACCACCGTTGGCGCGAGGGGTCCTTGCTGGGCCAGGAGGAGTCGGCTGGGCGCTTGCCTTTCCCCTGCTGAAAAAGACTTTTCCCGTTGCCTTTGGAGCCCTGCGCGCTGAGCCTCCTCTTCTCCATTTCCCGCTCCCACTCGGCATCCCAGTTGACGGATATCCTTACACCAGCAGAGGATGCGAACATCGAAGTTGGCCTGGATGAGGTCAGATACAGAGCCTTGACAGAAGTCGGGGGGAATGCCGGCTGGGGTCCTTGGAGGAGAATTGCCCCAACTTGCGGTCGCAAGTGGCGTTCCAGTCAATGGTCAGCATGGGGCCACATTCTTTCTTGAGGCGGTTGACTACCTCCTGCCAGGTTCTTCCTGAGTGGTGTTATAGCTCCAGCCGGGTTGCCACCGTGTCTCTCGTCGCGGCTGGAAGTAGAGTGGGTCCGAGGCGTCGTGATAGGGGGGGTATAGTGACGAGGGAGAACTGGGCCCCGACAGGGGGGATCGGCCTGGCGCCATGGCGGGGCGCGCTCCACCGCGTCGATACCGTGGCCCCTCCTGGAAGCCCCCTGGCGGTGCTGCTCATCGGCACGGGGGGGTCCCACGGACAGGCTCCCGAGGTGCCCCGGTCGGACGGCTCGGCCTGCACCACCTGCCCGCGGTCGGGGCTGGGTGAGGGGAGCGTGTCTCTGGGTGGGTGCGGAGAGCTGCTCGGACTGGGCCGCCTCTCGTCATTGCCAAATGCGGGGTTGTCTGGGGGTCGTCGCTCCTGAGGGCTCCAGTCGCAGCCGGCTGAGTTGGAGCGAGCGCGCGACGCTGAGGGCAGGCCGGGGGAGCTTCTGTCACGCCGCTTGCGGGTCACACACACACACACACACCAACACACACAGACACACACACACACACACAGACAGACACATAGACACACAGACACACAAACACACAGACACAGAGACACAACCACACAGAGACACAGGCACAGACAGAGGCACAGACACACAGACACTGACACAGACACAGACACAGACACAGACACACAGACGCAGACACACAGTCACAGACAGACACACACACACACACAGACACAGAGACACAGAGACACAGAAACACCGACACAGAAACACACGGACACAGACACTCAGACACAGACACACAGACACAGACACACCGACACAGAGACACAGACACAGAAACAGAGACACAGACACAGAGGCACAGACACAGAGGCACAGACTCAGAGGCACAGACACAGAGACACAGAGAGACACACACACACAGAGGCACAGACACGGAGACAGAGACACAGAGACACAAACAGAGACACAGAGACACAGAGACACAGACACAGACACAGAGACACCGACACAGAGACACATAGACAGACACACAGACACAGACACACAGACACAGAC